TGGTGGGGATACGCGAAGCGTAAAGAATTCCCTTCTCATCTGTCCCGGCACGATTTTTTGTTCGAAGGGTAACGCCACACTGAACGGTAACCATCTGAAATCCTCCGCCGCGTCAGGACACCATTCCTGTGACTTCAACGCCGCGAACCAACGTAACGACGCTGCGAACCAACGTAACTGTTGCAGCCTGACAACCCTAAATCGTGCTAGGGCACCTGCCCTGCGAGGTCAACACCGTGAATCAACATCGCGGTTTCGTTCTGGCAATCCTCAAACCGTGCCTGGAAACCGTTCTTGAGGCTTCAACCGTACGAGTCCATGAAGCAGTCGCAAGGCGTTTAAGACGAATGTGCGCGGCATTATGGCGAGAGCCACATGTTGAAGAGAAGCCGCCCTCTTCCCTTAACAAACGACTGCTGCAATCTTTTCAGACGTATGTGCGCGCGGCGCTGAAGTGAGGGCCGCGTTTTGAAAATGACACGCCCTCCATCCTTGAAACTGCTGCCAGCTTATCCAGCGAATGTGCGCTGTGCTAGCGCGAGAACCACGTTTTGAAAACCACCTGCCCTCCATCCCTGCAGCTGTTGCTCACCATAAAAAAAGATGTGCGCGGCGCTGAGGCGAGAACCACATTTTGAAAACGACCCGCCCTCAATCTTTGAAACTGCTGCAAGGTCCAAGCTTTTCAGAATCATAGATGGTGAAGAGATTTGACACGAAACGAATCGCCCGCCCTATCGACACGTCTGGGGGTGCGACAGGGAGGATCTATCTATAAGAGGAACGGGCGGATGAGGAGGGCGAGGAAGGCCAGGAATATGAGGGCGATGAGGTGGGGGAGGTGGGGGAGGAGGAGGGCTGCCGACGATCGCCCCGAGGAGGCGGGAGGGAGGGACGAAGACGAGGACGAGGACGAGGAGGAGAGGGAGGAGGAGAAGGAGGAGGAGGAGGAGGAGGAGGAGGAGGAGGAGGAAGGGATGACAAAAAGAAGAGTTACCAAACACCGGCATAAACAAACACTTCGGGAGCTCTGCGTGGATCCCTTGGATCGGCGCTGGACCCCCCTGGAGAGCGCCGTCGGCGCCGTCCCTGGCGCGATCCGTGTGCCAGGGAGTCGCCCAACGTAGATCCAAGATATCAGCGCGGACCTCCGAAAGATCGTGTGAACACGTCGCTGTTATTTCTTCGAGCCGTAGTCGAAAGAGTGGCCACAGGAACGTAGGCCAAGAGCGTGAGCACCTTCGACGAGAGCACAAGGCACCGTGAAGATACCAAGGAGAAGAGCACACAAAGGTGGGGAGCCTAGCACGAAGCGCAGAAGGGTGCCCCCTTTCTCATGCTGCTCAAACACCGAACGCACAATCCTCGGATCCCGGCTCGATGTACGCCCGACTCGGCGAACACAGTACGATACACACAGAGGAGGCTCGAGGGACAAGGGGGTAGGAGGAGTGAGAACATGGAGGAGCAAAGGCACTATGGGCAGAATCTAATGGGGGGAACAAGGATGAAACGAGGGGGGTGAAGTCAGGAGAGAGGGGACGGGGGAAAGGGAAGGGGACGACAGAGAGGGACAATAGAGCAACATAAACTGCATTATCCCAGCAGCCCTCTGGGCGTAGGTGGTTTACGGCGTTTCCTCTTCCACCTCTCCCTCTTCGGGGAGGGGTTAATCACTGTTCCCTATTAATATACACCCCCTCCCCCAGGCGACTGGGAGCCAACCCGAGTCAATGAGGGCACCCCCCCACCATCCCTTGTGCAAAAAACAATACTAAACACACTCTGTCTCCAAATTCGGAGCATGCGCAACGAACCCGATGCGGCCTCCCCCCACCATCCCTGGCAAAAAAACGGTACAGAGTACACGTGGCGGCGGCGGCGGCTGCGGCGGGGGCAGCGGCTGCGGCGGTGGCGGCGGCGGTGGCGGCGGCGGCGGCGGAGGTGGTGGCGGCGAGGGCAGCGGTGGCGGCAGCGGCTGCGGCGGCAGCGGCTGCGGCTGCGGCGATTTAGCAGCGGGGGCGGCGGCGGCGGCGGCGGGCGGCGGCGGCGGCGCGGCGGCGGTGATGGCGGCGGCGGTGGCGGCTGCGGCGGCAGCGGCTGCGGCGGCGGCGATTTGGTAGCGGCTGCGGCGGCGGCGGCGGCGGATTGGCCCCCAGTAGCTGCCCATCCAAAGACGACTGCTGATTATGCTGAGGATCGGGCCAGGCTCGGGTGCTACGTATGTGTTGGGAGGGCGGGTGGGAGTGAGCGAGACGGCTTGCGGGCGGGGAGGGAGTCTTGACCCTCCCCCTACCCCCTCCCCTGAACCTGGACGGGGGGTTCTGCGAGGGGTTGGAGCGTCCAAAACGACCTCGGCGAGGAAATCAAAATCATTGATTGGTGGTGCGAAGGTTTTGGCCCCATTTGGGCCTCTTGGGGGGGAGGCGTAATTTAAACTCCCCTCTTGATTGGTCGATCTCCTCCGAAATGGCCCCAAGAGCGCTCCCAAGGCGCCCAAGGGTGCTCTGAGAGGGCCCCCAGAGGTGGCCAGGAGGCCCCAAGAGACCCCCAAGAGGCCCCAAGGATGCCCCCAAGAGGCTCCCAAAAGACCCCCAAGAGGCCCCAAGAGTCCCTCCAGAGGCACCCAAGACGCCCCAAGAGGCCTCGGCGAAAATGCCCAAATCATTGATGTTACAAAGGTTTTGGCCGCATTTTGGCCTCCTGGGGGAGGGCACTGCTTAAGATGACTCCAAGAGCGCGTGTGAGAGCCCAAGATGACCTCCACTATGGCTCAAGATATCCCAAGGTGCTTCAAGATGGCTCCCACGATGGTCCAAGAAGCCCCAAGACCGCTCCAAGACGGCTCCAAGTGGCTAAAGCGCTCCCTCAGGAGGCTCCGAAAAGGCCCAAATCCTTCCAAAACCTTAGGACAATCAGTGTTTCTGGCTTTCTCGCCCTTTCGCTTCCGATGGCCATCCGAGGCCTCAAATGGCTCCAATATGGCCCAAAAGGGCTCCAAGAGCGCTCCCAAGGCTCCCAAGAGCGCTTCAAGAGGGACCCAAGAGGCGCCCAGGAGGCCCCATGGAGGCCCCAACAGGCGCCCAAGAGGCCTCCAAGAGGCTCCCAAGAGACCCCCAAGAGGCCTCAAGAAGCTTTCCGAAGCACCCAAGACGCTCTAAGAGGCGTCCGGGACCGCCAAGAGGCTCCCAAGACGCTCCAAGAGGCCTCCACTGGGGGACCCTTCCCCTGTGTGCTGGCCACTTCGCTGATCGAAGCAATTCCTCTGAGCATCGTTTCTGGATGGGCTGTTGGGGTTACTTTTTTTCGCCGCAGCTGCAGGCCAACGGGTCCGACAGCGTCAGTAAAGAAGACTCGGGCCACGAACAACCTAATTGCCGGCGCGCGCGCCGAGCAAGCAACTGACCTACCGCCGGGGGAAGCAGCAGCGCTGGGGCAGAGCTGCGCCGAGGGGTGGAAGCTGCCAGCAGCGGAAGCGACTGGAGAGTGCAACGTGCAGGTACCGTGGGAGCTGAACCACTTCTGCAAGACGCGGCGGCCAGTACCCCAGGTGGCCAGCAGGCAACCAGGGCCAGGGAGTGCAAACACTGCCGGCACTGGTCAGAGCGTGCGGGACCTGATCGCCAGGGCTCACTCGATGCCACGAGACAAAGAGAGCTAGGCCAGGTGACGGGCGCCTCCACCGTGTCGAGGGGGTCGGTGCCCAGCGCCAGTGGCGGAGAAAGAGCCAGACACGGCCAAGCCTGGCGGTGTCTGGGGACCAGAGCCCAGGGAGTGCAAGCACAAGCACTGGTACTGGTCAAGACGCGTGAGCTGAGGACATCACGAAAGGCCAGAGCCAGGGAAACCACGCCAGGCCGTGGCGGGGTCCTAACACGGACCGGAGTGAAAACAGCACAAGGACGGCCGAGGCCGTAAGGCGCGCCGTGCTCTGCCCCAGCGGAGACAGCGTGCCCGGTGTTGACTGCGACTGGGGGCCAGCTCCCCAAGGGCGGGGAGGCCAGGAATTGGATCGTGCTGCAGCCAGGGCTAGAGGCCAAGAGGGGCCGATGCCGAGGGACCGAGTCAGGCCATGACCAGGTCAAGGCGGAGGCCAGAGTGAAACCAAATACAGTAGCGGCCATCGCCGATAGGCACGCCGTACCCGCCCCAGCGGGTCCCGCGAGCTCGGTATTGACGGCTCCAGGGGGGCGTGCCTCAAGGGCGAGGGGCCCTGCCAGGTGCCGCGAAGGCCATCCCCGAACGACTCTTGGCTGCCAGTGGGGGCTGAAGGCCACTGCAGCCAAGTGAGGTAAAAGCAAGTATAGCATTGCGGTCGATGACGGGCACTGAGCCGAGCCGACTGCATCTGTCCCCAGCCCGGGCAACGAGCCGCTGGGGGCAGCGCCACGGCCTGGCCCACGTGAGCGGGGGGCCGTCCAGGCACTGTGGGCGACTGCAGCCGACGGCAGCACGCTCCAACCAAGCCACTGACTTGCCAAGCATGAGAGGGAAACCTCCAGGACGCGGGCGAGACAAAGTGTCAGAATCTATCTTTGGAGGTCCGCGAAGCGTCCAGACTTTCGTTTTGGAGGTCCGCACGACTTTTTTGATCGGCGCTGACCCCACCCTCCCTCGCGCACGCAGAACGCGCCAAGGGCGACGCCTGCGCTGGAGGCGTAGTCAGGGGGGGCAGAGGCACCGACCTAAGTAAGCCGCGCGAAGATCCGAAAGTTCATGTTCATGCCCGTTTTTTCGATCCGCGGCCCCGGAGGCCTCGACTGCTCCCCTCGGGGTGACTGTTCGTCCCCTCTGCTTCTGATATGGCCCCAAAGTGCGATGACAGCTCCCGAGGGCTGAAAACGGAAGAAAACCGCGGGTTGACAACATCCCTGGCGGGGGGAACGGAAGGGTAGGACAGAGGGGGACACTGGACAACCAAGGCCAGCAACCGAGCAGAGGATGAACACTGGCCTGAATAACTATATATCTAGACATTCATATCTGTACATACATATGTGATATGCGATCCACCGTCGCGTCGGTGATCCATCTCCCCGTCATTCCTAGTCGGCGTCAGCGTCGACCTCCTCCTCCCCCTTCTCCTCGCCCGTCGTCGTCCGTCGTCGTCGTCGTCGTCATCGTCGTCGTCGTCGTCGGTCCGTCCGGCGCTACGCTCTCTACTCGCGCCGTCTTTCGTGTGTCCTCGTCGGTCCGTCGTCGTCCGTCGTTCCTCGTCCCGTCGTCGTCGTCGTGGTGGTGGTTGGTGGTGGTGGTGGTGGGGTGGGGTGGTGGTGGTGGGTCGGTCGGTCGTAGTCCGTCGCGTCCTCGTCGTCTCGGTCGTCGTCGTACCGTCGTGTGGTTTTTTCGCCCTCAGTTTCCGTCGTCGTCCGTCGTCGTGGTTTTTTTTTGTCGCTTCCGCTTTCTCGTCCGTCCCCCGTCGTTGGTGGTCGTCGTCGTCGGTGGTCCGTCCCGTCGTGGTTGGTCGTCGTCGTCCGTTCCTCCGTGTTGCCCTCCCTGTGGTCGCCCTCGTCTCTCGTCGTCGTCGTGGTGGTCGTCGTCGTCGTGGTCGTCGTCGTGGTGGTCGTCGTCGTCGTCGTGGTCGCCCTCGTCCTCGTCGTCGTGGTCGCCCTCGTCGTCGTCGTCGTCGTGGTGGTCGTCGTGGTCGTCGTCGTGGTGGTCGCCGTCGCCGCCGTCGGTGGCAGGCCGCGGCCGAATGCACCCCGAGGCTGGCCGCCGCCCGCTGTGGGCCGAGCGGCGGGCCGAGCGGCGGCGGCGCCTCGCCCACGCCGAGCACCACGGCGGCGCTGCACCCGCTGCCGGGGCAGCGGAACACGGCGACCTCCCTCCCCGGACCCCCTCCTCCTCCTCCTCCTCCTCCTTCTCCTCCTCCTCCTCCTCCTCCTCCTTCGCCTCTCCCTCCCTCCTTTTTTTTACGCCTACTCCTCCCCCTCCTCTTCCACCCTCCACCCCCCCTCATCCTCATCCCTCCAGCCTCCTTCCTACTACTCCCCTCCCTCCTCCTCTCTACCCTCCTCCTCCTATCCTCCCTCCCTCCCCCTCCTCCTCCCCCTCCTCCGCCTGCCTCCTCCTCCTCCTCCCTCCTCCCCTCCTCCTCCTCCTCCTCCTCCTTCCTCCTCCCCTCCTTCCTCCACCTCCTCCTCCTCTGCTCCTCCTCCTCCTCCTCCTCTTCCTCCTATCACAATTGCTCAATTCGCCTCCTCCTCCTCCTCTCTCCTCCTCCTCCTCTCCTCCTTTCCTCCTACTCCTCTTGCTCCTCTTGCTCCTCCTCCTCCTCCTCCTCCTCCTCCTTCTCCGCCTCCTCCTCCTCCTCCTCCTCCTTCTCCTCTCCCTCCCCAGACCCCCTCGGGTCATGACAAGAATCACGACGGAGGGTTTTCCGCGATGTTCGGCCTCTGCGGGCCCTTACCGGGCCGCGGGACCGTCAGAAAGTCGGGGGCGGCAAAGAGGGGGGCGTCCAAGAGGGGGGGGTGCAAATCATGGCCGGCGGCACGTGCGCGGCTAGCGGGGGGGCCGGGGACGTATTGAAATAAGAAGGGGCGCCATGAAATCTGGGGAAATATCATGGCCCCCGCCATGATATCCCCCCTCCTAGTCATCAGCCCCCTCTTTTCCGCCCCCGATGTTCGGCCTCTGGGGGCCCTTACTGGGCCTCGGGACCGTCAAAATGCGACCCAGGATGAAAAAACTGGTCCCGGGGAAGGGGAGGAGGAGGAGGAGGAGGAGGAGGAGGAGGAGGAGGAGGAGGAGGAGGAGGAGGAGGAGAAGGAGGAGGACAAGGAGGAGGAGGAGGAGGAGGAGGAGGACCAGGGTCCAGACCTCTGGGGTCGACGTCATATCAAAACATCGTGACGTCGGAGGTCTGGGTCGGCGGCCCGCACCAGGGAGCACGGGGGAGGGGGGAGGCTCTGCTTCTTGGGAGGCTCGGGCCCTATAGATCTGCACATAGGGCCCGCGCCTTCTACGAAGCAGGGGTGCCTCTAAGAAGCCTGCCCCCTCCCTCGCACTCGGACCTCGGCGAGGAGGACGTCCTTCAAGAACATGAGACCCTCCGCGGGCCACGAGCCCCAAACCATCAGATCACTCGAGGATACCCTCCCCCAGAATGCACAAGAACACCCGACAAACACGACGAACATTCGGGTACCCTCCCCTCCCCGAACCGACCTCGATCTTATACCCCGATCCGATCGTAGGGGGGCGCGATCTCGGTCTTATACCTCGATCTCCCCCAAGCCCCCTCGGCTGACCATCGGGGGGGGGGGTGGGACAGCGCCGCCTCGCAGCAAGCGCTGCTAGGCTCTGATTGCGGGCCCTCTGGCGCCATGCGGCACCCCCGGCGGGGCGAGGCGGAGGCGGAGGCGGAGGAGGAGGAGGAGGTGGATGAGGAGGCGGCGGAGGAGGAGGAGGGCCCGAACGCCTAGAACCTCGAACCCCGGGGAGCAGCAGTGAGCAGCAAGAATAGCCCGACTGCGCCGAATCCGACCGCCCGAAACGCCTCGTACGCCCGAAATTCACGCCGTCGAAAGCGCCCGAACGCCTCCAAGCCTTGCGAGCAGCATCGAACGACAAGCAGCAGAACGGCTTTGATGCGGTCTTCTGCGCTTCCGTGTTTGGACGGATGGGGTCTGCTCTCGTGGTCTTGATGCTTGTGTAGGATGGGATGACATGGTGGACGCGTGCGGGTGGATTTCGAGTGTCTCGTAGATTTGATGCGGCGTTCAACGCTTTGGGGCCTGGGCGCGTGAAGACTGGCCTTGTGACTCTGATTCCCGTGCCGACGACGATCGCGTGGGTGGGGGATGGATCAAATGGATGCGCGCGGGGGAGGCAAGGATGTGTGATATATGATGATGTATGGTGCTGACGATGGTATGTGATGGTGTGATGATGAGGATGATATGATGATGTTGATGATGATGGATGTGAGGATGGATGACGATGTGATGATGATGATGTGATGCTGAGGCTGCGGCTGCGGGATAAGAGGATGATGAGGTTGGTGTGATATTGTGATGCTGCTTGTGAGGATGATGCATGATGATGCTGTACTGTAGCTGATTGTGCTGCTGCTCTGATGATGATGATGGAGCTATGCTGAAGATAAGATGAAGTTGCAGTTGATGATGATGATGATGAGGATGATGATGATGGATGATGATGTTGATGTTTGTGTGATGAGGATGATTGTTGATTGATGATGTTGTGATGATGATGATGATGTTGATATGATGATGATGATGAGGAGGATTGGGATGATGAGATGATGATGTTTAGGGGAGGGAGGAGGATGTGGTAGGAGGATGAGGGCCGAAAGAGGAGGAGGGGAGGAGGAGGAGGAAAAGAGGAAGGAGCACGGAGGATGAGCAAGAGGAGGGGGAGGAACCATATAATAATATGAGTACGGAATAGGAGGATGAAGAGAGGATTAAGGAGGAGGAGAGGAGGAGGAGGGGGAGGGCTGGAGGAGGGAGGAGGAGGAGGAGGAGGAGGAGGTGGAGGAGGAGGAAGGAGGAGGAACGAGGAGGTGGAGGAAGACGAGGATGCGCTGAAGGAGGAGGACGAGGATGCGCTGAAGGAGGAGGAGGACGAGGAGGAGGAGGCCTGGGACTCGGGGTCCTGCTGCAGCGCGACCAGGCCCTGCTCCAGCCGCGCGGCGCGCAGGGCCTCCGTGCGCCCGGCGTCGGCGCGGAGGTCCTGCCGCTCGCGAGGGGCGGAGGTGGTGCCTCTGCGCCGCTCCTCCTCCACCTCGCCTCGTCCTCCTCCACCCCTCCTCCTCTTCCCTCCCTCCTCTCCTCCTCCTCCTCCTCCTCCTCCTCCTCCCCCTCCCTCATCCTCCTGCCCTCCCCTCCCCCTTCCTTCTCTCTCTTTCTCCTCCTCCTCCTCCTCCTCCTCCTTCTCCCTTGAGGCGATATTGGGGGCCCCTTTGGCCGTCTGGGGCGCTCTGACGACCGCAGAAGCAAGCATGCTCAAATCGTGCCAGAAGTCGCATCAACAAAAACATTGGTTTCGCCACTTCGGGCCCCCTGGGAGCCTCTTGGCAACGGCTGTGGACCGTCTTGAACCGTCTTGAAGGCGTTTGAGCTGTCCTTGGGCCTTCTTGTGGGTCTCTTTGTCGCCCACTCATAACCTCTGTGGGCTTCCAGGCGTCATTTGGGGACCCCCAGGGGCAGTCTTCGCAGAGGGTTGTGTCTAGATAAGGGGCTGGAGGTCCAGGTCTTTGGCCCACATTTCTTCCGTGGTTAAATGTACCCTGAAACCACGCACGCGCGCTTCGCACGCCCTTGGATTCTAGTCGGGGGGAACTTGCCTTGTCCCCATCCTGTGCCTACTCCAATCCGTGCGACCGCTCCTTTCCGCATTCTCCCTTTCCCTTCTCACGGCGCTCAGCAGCTCCGTGGTCGCCTGGAAGCGACGCTGGAATTCCACGACGTCGGCCCAGAGAGGCCCCCAAACGGCTTCCGACGGCGTCGGACGGGCCAGGAGGCCATCAAGACGGCCCAAGATGTCTTCAAGATGGCCCAAGACGGTCCAAGAGGCCCCTAAGAGGCGTCCAACACGGCCCGAGAGGCGTCCAGCAGAATCATTGATTTTCAATCATTTTCCAAGGATGTTGATATTTGCTTCTTGTCGGCCTTCTGACTGCCCGAAACAGCCCAAGAGCCTCCAAAGATCGCCCCAAGATCGCCGAAGAGGCCTCCAAGGTGGCCCCAGAACGGCCCAAGAGCCCCCAAGACGGCCCCAAGAGGGTCCCAACCACCCACTAGGCCTCCAAGACGCCTAAGATGGCCTCCAAGACAGCCCTGGAGCATTCCAAGAGGGCCCCAAATCGGCCCAGAGAGGCCCGCAAACGGCTTCCGACGGCGTCAGACGGACCAGGAGGCCCTCAAGACGGCCCAAGATGGCTTCAAGATGGCCCAAGAGGCCCCCAAGAGGCGTCCAAGACGGCCCGAAGGGTCTCCAGCATAATCATTGATCTTCAATCATTTTCCAAGGATATTGGTATTTGCTTCTTTTCGGCCTTCTGACTGTCCGAAGCAGCGCAAGGGCCTCCAAAGATCGCCCCAAGATCGCCGAAGAGGCCTCCAAGACGGCTCCCGACGGGCCAGGAGTACCATCAAGACGTCCAACAACCCGAGAATCCCCCCAAGGCCCCCACGAGGCCCAAGGAGGTCCCCAAAATACCTCCAAGAGGCTCCCAGGAAGCTCCCAGGAGGCCCCAAGACTGCCCGCAGCGGCTCCCAAGATGCCCCCTCCTCCTCCTCCTGATCGTCCCCGCCATCTTACCCCAAGTGTTCCCCGAAGGGTTTCCACAACGGCTGGGGGAACACATGGTCCGATAGCTTGGCAGAGCTATTGCCACAACGCTCGGCCACATTGGCGATTCCAAAAGGTAGGGGGCGGCGGTGATTCGCCGAAGGCGTCTTCGTATATGTCTATATATATATATATACACAGATATATCGGATTGCATTTGTTGCCTGCGAAGCAGGTCGGCTTGAGCTGGCCTGGGAAAGTCTGCAGATATACCCAGTCAGCCCCAGAGATGACCCAAGCCGGCCCCTTGGGAGTCCCGAGTCCGTCCAAGCACCCCCCAATACAGCCCCCGGCCGCCCCAAGAGGCCCCGACGGCCCCAAGAGTGTCCAACCAGGTCTCTTCGGGAGATCTCGGCAGAACAATCGCGCAGATGACCCGAGCGTCACCCAATGTGGCGGTGCGCTAAAGGGGGCAGGGGGAGGGTGGAAGGCTTCTTAGAAGCACCCTGCGTCTTAGAAGGCCCGCGCTTTCTAAGAACCAGTGGTGCTTCCAAGAAGCCTTCCCCCTCCCCCTGTCCCCCTCTGCACGTGGCCCACCAATTCAGGACGACGATCAGGCGTGGGTGAACAAAGAGGCACTGCTACCGCCACTCGGGGACCTCCACCGAATCTCCGTGAGAGTCCAGCCGTGGCGGCGAGGGCTCTCCAGGACATGCCTCGGCACCGGCACTTCCAATTTCTGAAGGCGCGCCACCGCCCAGGGGCCGCCCGCCCCCCGGAGGGGACGGTGGAGACGTGGAGACTTCTATTGGTTAAATGACAATGCATCTGTATGCATGTATGCATGTATGCATGTAAGCATGTATGCATGTATGCATGTATGTATGCATGTACGCATGTATGTATGCATGCATGCATGCATGTATGCATGCATGCATGCATGCATGCATGCATGTATGCATGTATGCATGTATGCCTGTATGCCTGTATGTATGTCTGTGTGTCTGTATGTCCGTATGACTGTATGCCTATGTGTCTGTATGTCTGTATGTCTGTAGTTATGTCTGTCTGTCTGTCTGTCTGTCCGTCTGTCTGTTTGTCTGTCTGTCAGTCTGTCTGTCTGAATGTCTGTCTGTCTGTCTGTCTGTCTGTCTGTCTGTCTGTCTGTCTGTCTGTCTGTCAGTCAGTCAGTCTGCATGCATGCATGCATGCATGCATGCATGCATGTATCTATGTATCTATATACACACTGCTGTTTACGGTAGTAATCGTTACCCAAGGAGGTTTGGACCTGGAGGCCCCGATCCCGGAGACCTCACGGGGGGGAAGAAATGGTAGGCTACAGCCAAGGGCAGGGTAGAGCATCAGCTCACGCAGCTGGCTTTCCTGGTGCCTCCTGGCACCGCGAAGCGCCCATGTTTCGAGCAGTGGGCCCGGCGAGGCGGAACACAGCTGCATGGGGGCCTCCTGGAGACCGCCAGAGCAGAGGCTCCTGGCTGGAGACCTCCGGGTAACAGCAACAGTAGCAGCAACGCGTGGGCGGGGGGGGGCGGGGGGCACGTCTGGGCGGGGGCGCTGCGATCGCCATTGTTTGCGTGCGAGCACCATGAAGGGGCCCTGGGACACACAAATAAATAGACACAAATAACAGGATTCCTTATATTTCCCCATATTTTCTGGGTCCTCGTCTTCCCCCCCACTTCCCATATTTTCTTATATTTCCTGGGAGTGGACGATTAACTGTGTCTGTGTGTTTTTCCCCTCCGGACGCCAGCCCATGCGGGGGAGGAGGTGCTCTGCCCAGGTAGGGACCGTCACGTGCCGAAAAGTACACTCTCGTGGCGGTGGTCCCGTGTTTCCCGCCTGACTCTCGGCAGACCCTGCGCTGCCCTCCTCGAGGTCGTGGTCCCCGACCGTCATGCCAGATCGCTGGCCTGTGGGTACTGTTTGCGCGCTCAGTAGTGCTTCGCTCCAGCTAACACTCACGCTTGGACGCCCCGTGGTTGTCTGGCCACCTATGCGCCAAAGGAGGAGGAGGAGGAGGAGGAGTAGGAGGAGGAGGAGGAGGAGAAGGAGGAGGAGGAGAAGGAGGAGGAGGAGGGGGAGGAGGAGGAGGAGGAGGAGGAGGAGGAGGGAGGAGGAGGAGGGAGGAGGAGGGAGGAGGAGGAGGAGGAGGAGGAGGAGGAGGGGGAGGCGCGGCGCGGGCGAGGCGGCCGCTCCCCAGGAGGACTCTCATCCTCCCC